CTGGGTACTGAAACTCAATATTAACTCTGCGTTGCCTGGAGGGTTGAGAGGGAGCTTACGACAGATCCATCTTGAGTCTGAGGAACTAACTGGGAGGCGAGCGCATTAGTAAGCACTTATCTTGGGAACTTAATTACCAAAACAAATGATGATTGTCAGTGGCAATGATTCTTCATTACTGTTATTATTCTTTACCTAGGGTTGTATACAGAATGTGTTTCTGACGGCATCATCGTCTTTAACACCACTGGGGATTAAATGAAAGTCAGTCAGTCAGTGATTCACATAGTTGGTCAGTACTGAGCAAGATATCTTCACCATTGCTGGACAGATTACCATGAAATTTGTCAAGGGCATTTAAACTCCCCAGTGGATGATTCATATTGACCTTAAAGGACCAGTGTGTAGGATTTAGGATCTATTGGCAGTAATAAAATATAATATTCATGATTATGTTTTCATTAGTGTATAATCACCTGAAACTAGCTTAGCTTCATATCTACATGGGGAATGAGTTTTCTTCCAGCCCGCCATTTTGTATCTGAATGGACAAACCAAACGCTGGCTTTAGAGAGTTCCTTTTATCTTTCTAATTTGCTTGACACCGTAGTGTTGCCTACACGCTGGGAAAGGGAGAGGTGAGGGGAGGGGTATTCAGCTGGTTACAATCTGCAACCTCATCACTAGATCCCACTAAATCCTACACACTGGTCCTTTAAAATGTAATGACTGAATTTTCCCCAAATTTGCTGTGGAAATTTGTCCCCACAAGAGGAACCTTAATATTTCGGGTAATTGAGTCTACATTTCCTGTTGTACTAGCATTAAACCAAAATTATGCAAGAATTACCAAACTCTAAAATTTGCTGTGCACCAGTCAGTATTGTATCAGCAAGAGGACAAGCTTTTTCGTGTCCTATTTAGGTGCCATTTTTGGATTAAAGCTCAGCCAATAGGTAGATCACTAGACACATTTATGCTTCCAAAGGAAATTACCCATTGAATTTTAACTAGCCCACGACCTTTCGTCTAGCACCTCCAGCAGGTGAAGCTTTACAATTCAGCTCCTCTACTAACAATAACACAGACAACCAACTCTCAACACCTTTGTATTGAGGGTTGTAATGAAAATTCAAATACGGCATTTGTCCATGCCGCCTACACTGACGTACATAAGTGTTTTCTGATCTGATGCTCCTATCAGCAGGGCATCATCATTTGTCTGTGCATCCAAAACCTTCAAGTCAAATCCATGTTTTGGCCTGATGGTGCTATGGATAAGGTTTGTTTGGGTTTAGGCACAAAAACAACTTGCTTAGTTTAAGGGAAAGATCATAGTTTGGGTTAATATAACAACCTCATCAAGGTTAGTGGACTTTCATTATTGTTGTTACAATAATAAACACTTGGTTAAGGTCAGGGAACAATAGTTGTCATAAAAGATGCAATGGTGTGTGAAAAAATGTGTTGAATTTTAGGACAGTCTCTTTTACATCATTTTGTTATCAAGTAATGTCTGTGAGTAATGTAAGTAGGTGGATAAATTTCTGCTCGGTGATCATCAGAAAGCAACCAACCATAAATACTAAAAATATAGGTAAATGCTTCAGGGACAGTTTTATTAAAATGTTATACAAGTTTAATTTAATTAATATAAGTTATTAATTTCGCTGTATATAGTAAATTAACATGATAAATTTGGGCAATGTCTGAAAGGTGTGTTAATTGACTACATCTTTGCCCACGTGTCCAGTATGAGGAGGAGTGTTTGGAGGAAGATGATCCAAGGAGAAAGAGGAGGTGGTTGACCATGACTGAAGATGACAGCTAATGGCGTGAAGACTGTCAGGGCAGCCGGTGTGTCTAAATAACCAGGTGCTGCGATTTAGTTTCTGCCTGGTTAAACAGTGGAATAATTGGTCAAGTTATCCAGTAATTAGACCGGCTCTACCACGCTGCCTCTGAGAGCCTGGTGACTGCTCCGCCATGCTAATTGGGCTATTTATACCGAGACACATTGACCAGGCTCTCTGGCTTCCTTTCCAATTCGCTTTTCAGCACTTGTTTATTTTTTCAGTGTGTACTCAGGACACCGGGCTGGACTCACCAACCTCCAGCTCCTCCTCCTCCTCTCCTCCTAAAACCATTTTTCATTCCAACTTGAGCTTGCTGAACTTTTGTCCTCTGCCCTCTGTCTCTTTGTCCATCTGTCTGTCTCTCGCCGCTGTTTTTTTCTCACTGTTGTTTTTACTCCCTCTCCTCCCTTATTCACAGCAGCTCCTTTTCTCCCAGGCTTTCTGTATTGCTAATCAGTGTTTTATGAATGCCAGAGTCTGTGCGCGGGACTGTGTCTTCCTCATGTGAATGTGTGTGTGAGCATTCCTCTGTGAGTGTGTGGAGATGGATGTACGTCAGTCAGTCAGACCTGCATCCTCCTGGAGTGTGATTAATAGAGCCAGCTGTGGAAACCAGACTGTCACACACACACACACGCACACGCACACACACTCACACACACTCACACATACGCACACACACACAGGAATACTTTGAATGCTCCTTTCTATAGAAAACTCACATTTTCGTCTCACTGTGTGCCTGTAATTTCTGTCCCAGAAATGAGCTGCTGCTCATGAGAGACCATCTCCAACTGGAGATCCCACCAATAGCTCGCTCACACCTCCGTCCCTCTTTGTGTGTGATGGCCTCTTTCTATTCTGTCTGTCCGTCGCTTGTTATCTCTGCATCTGTATTCTCTCTGCCTTTTATTATTCCTATATCTTCCCCTCTCCTCCTTTTTCTCACTCTCCTCTTCTGTTTTATTATCTTTCCCTTTCCCTTTCTCTCTGTCTTTCTGTCCCCTTCAGGCTAACCCTCAAACCTCCATCAGGAGCAAACAAGGCTCCTTGACATTCAATTTCCTGCTTGCCACGCACTTCTCTATTGTATGTGCTTCTCCTCTTTTTCTAGGACTCTTTTTGTGTGAGTTGAATAGCTGGATGGATGTGGCATTGGACGAATGAGCGGGCAGAAGGATGGATGGGATGGATGAGGAGAGAACTTGGCTGTTTTTTTTGTTTTTTTGGGGGGGGGGTGGTTTGGGTGTCAGCCTTCCTGGCTAAAGCTTTAACAGCAAGGTCACTTTGCTGGGATGTTGTGGCGATTTTCTCCCCTTCTCTTAACAATAGTATACTGAATGTGTCCAGGAGCTGTCAGCAATGAAAACAGGAAGATTGGCACCAAGTATTTCCGGTGTTATCTCTGATAAAGTTGTGATGCCGTAGAACGTGCTGCAGTGTAATAAATAAAACACCTTTAAAAATAATTGTCTTTAAAAGTCCTCTTTATAATATATTGGGAGAGTTGGTCAAAACATTAAAAATCATTTTAAATGAATGGAAAACGCTATAAATAAGAATCTATAAAAGTCTCTTAAGTTTATTAAAAAGTTTTTTGTTGACATCTTTACATTGTCACTAATTAAAAGTTGTACTTTATTAAAAATTAGATTGTTGTAATCGTTACAGTATTATATTGTCCAGAAAGAAGGTAAAACATCAGTTACTATTCAGCAAGATTTTGCAGTTGGCTTCATAAAACATTTGACATTTTGACTGATTCGTTTTCATTTTTCAGTTATCAAACCGTTCACAGCTGCAGCCTCTTATGTTACTGGACGAAACAACTTCATCAGATACATACAGTTGTTAAATACACAGAATATTTTTGACTGGATGTGAATGTCTGTCACTGACTGAATGATTGAGTGATGAAGTTACACCATTGGTTGGGCCGTTGAGTGTTAAGAGTTTCCCCATTTGTTGTTGCTCTTTCAAAATGATTTGGCACCAACAGTGTTGCCAGCTTAGCACCTTAACTGATTTTTAGCCCCTTTTGGCATCTTCTTTTTTTAAAAAAAAGCACCTTGAGACAAATTTAGCAACTTTTTGGACAAACATTAGCTAAAAAGTTGCCAGCTAAAGAGTCTGCCGGCACACCTCTCTATGCCACTCATTCCTTTGACCACACAGCAGCTGACGTGAACGAGCTTCTAACTCTCTCTCGGAGTGATAATTTTAAGTAAATATAACCGAAATCACATCGCAGTTGTTGTCTTTAACTTATGTGTAAGATGATTTTGTCAGACGATGACAAATTTCTTTTTCACTAGCGCCTCAGTGTAATGCTTCCTTATGATACTTTTATTACAAATTGTAACTAACTAACCAGCTAACTAACCAACTATGTTCTCAACCAGGCTATAGCTAGCTAATTTATTGTTTGATAAGATGGCACAGCAAGCAGGTATAAAACTGCAAGTCAGTCAATCCAGGCAGTCGGAAATTACTTAGTAATTAGTGTGTGTGGTTGTGTGTTTGTGTTCATGAGCCTGTTCCTGTGTGTGTGTGTGTTTGCAGTGAGTCCTGTTGAGAGATAAATGAGTCTGGTTGACATTGTCTGGAACAGGTGGTGAAGTCAGCAGGGAAGACACACAGACAACGCTCATTCACACACACAAACAGACACACACACACACACACTTACACATACACACTCACACACCCACACACACACACACTCACACACTCACACACCCAATTTGACTTCAATGCCGATTTTCTGGCTTGTTTGAGAGTGTAGCCAGCCTGAGTGGATAAAGAAGGAAGAATAGGTTGCCTTTGAATAGCCCCCATATTGAGTGGCTGATGTATTGATTACAGAGGCAGAGAACCCACATTAATCATTCACAGCATGTTTGATTGACTGATTTATTATCTTTTTATGAACATTGCATGCTATTTATTAGCCACTGTGCGAATCAGTGAGTGCGTTAAAGGAACAGTTAACCGTAGAATTATAACTCTGTGTATCTAAGCTCTCCTATGTCACTCACATCTAAAAAAGAAAAATACACTAAAACTACAACATGCAGACCAACTAATAACACGTATGAACTGATGAATTGTACTTATGTGCTCTGTATATGTGTGTGTTTCCAGGTGAGTGTGGTGCAGGACTCTGTGAACATCTCAGGCCAGAACACAATGAACATGGTGAAGGTTCCTGACTGCAGGCTGGCTGAGGAGCTTGGAGATTTGTGGGAAAACTCGAGATTCACTGACTGCTCCCTGTGTGTTGCTGGCCAGAAATTCCAGGCACACAAAGCCATCTTGGCAGGTGAGGGTATCCTTTCATTCATCATACCTCGAAAAACACACGGATAGAATCTTTATACTCAGGTGCTAAAAGCTGACCTGTTTTCTCATGTTTATGAAAATTGGATACTTTTTCATCATTCAAGTCACTGTGTGATCTTGACAAGGTCGTGGTAGGACACAGCAATATTCTGTCTGTTTTAACGTCGCGTTTGCAGTAAAACATGAACTCAAATGTATTAATAAGTTGTTACACTGTTCAGGAGCAAGGAACGGGCACAGCAAACTTCTGTTGTCACATCTTGGTAAATTCAAAGGAGTTAAAACATATGAACATTTCCAAGATGTTGGTTGTAACTGTCATGTTATGCTGACAGTTATTCCCCTGCACACAGAATCATTAATGGGGCTGTACACACAGTAATAGAGATGTTTACCACAGAGCTGTAGCACTGTACAGTTATATACTGTTGATATTATTTGTTTTGTAAAATGTCAGAATATAGTGAAAACTGCCCGTTCCATTTCCAGTTTACAAAGATATAAAACAGAAGTAAATCCTCACATATCTTTCAGATAAATCACTAAAAGGAATATTGATGATTGGGGTTAGTGACAGTGGTAATTGGTGATGATGATTTTTTGCCATTTTTCCAATTGATTTATTGACTGACCCAAAGGTTTTATTTGTTACATACACAAAAAAAATGTGTTTAGAGACGGAAAAATTCTAAATATACATACAGTGGGGTCCAAAAGTCTGAGACACCGTATGTATAATTTATATAAGTATTAAAATAAATGTAAACATGTATGTCACAATTTTAAGGTACTAATATTTTTTGCACTAGATCACTTCCAAACTAATATAAGTGGTGGGTTTTATGTTGTTATTCATGGTGGAGTTTGTCATTATCATCCTGGGTTTCATTTCAGAGTTTTAGTTTCCGTCTAAATGCTATTTCAAATGCTTTTCCACTGTGACAAGAATTAAATTCCGGGGGAAATACTTCATCAAATTTTTAATTTTAATGAATAATTTCTGCTTGCCACAGGGATGGTTAAATTTGAATATATTCGATACCCATACAGGAATCAACTATTGACACCTTACAGCACCTGCGCGTCTTCTTTGGCCTTCAGGAATCCATATCGATCGAACATGGTTATGGAGACGCTCACACAAACAAACAAACATGATGCATTTTGAACAACTTGTTGCAGATATTGACACTTTGATGACAGCCGGCGTCAGATAGTGAAAAGTTTGAGGGAACTGGTGAACTGTGTGTCTCTGTGGAAGCAAGGAGAGGCTGTTCATTATTGGATTTGTTGAAATGTGTGTGTGAGGAGCCATTTTAATTATGTGCTGCTGTGGTTTGGGGTCTTCCCCTCTCTCTCTCTCTCTCTCTCTCTCTCTCTCTCTCTCTCTCTCTCTCTTTCTCTCTTTCTCTCTTTCTCCTTCCCTCCTTCTTTCTTTCTCTCTCTTTCTCTCTCTCTGCTCTACTTGGTCCAGATGACGTCCCTCCTCCTCGTTATTCCCCCTCTCGGCTGTTCCCGTGACAACTCTCCCGGCCGTTAATCGCCGTGGAGACGGACAGAGAGGGATCAAACGAAGGAGGGAGAGCAACTCAAATTGGCTGCACACTGGCCATGTGATCTTTGTACCACCCAGTCTTTCTCTCGTTCTGTCTCTTACCTTCTCTTTATTCCCTCTTCTCTATCTCTCCTACCTTTTCTCAATATCCCTCTTTCCCCTTTCTCTTTCATCTTCTCCTTCTCCTTTTCATTCTTTCTTCCCCTGTTTTCCTCCTCCTGTCACTCATCCCACCTCCTGTCTTGAGTTTTCTCCACATATCTCTCTCTTCCTGTCAGTCTTTACTTCTTTTGTCTTTTTCTCTCCTCAGCTCCTTTTACTGCCCATCGCTGTCTACTGCTCTCTCTCTCTCTCTCTCTCCTCTCCCTCCTTTCACTTTCCTTCACCCTCTCCTTCTCTCGCTCTCTGTCTCTCTCTCGTCCACCCCTTCCCTTTGTTGCTGCAGTATGAGCTCACCAGTGCTGAGCTGCACCAGACAGACTCATTGTAGGTTTGTCTCCATAGTCCTACCTGGGCTAAGTTTGGTTTCAGTGCTGTATCTCTAAGCTAGCTTCATGATCAAAGCATTATTGAAAAACGATACAAACTAACTTTGCTGACTTTGCCTGACATGCGAAAGAAAGGATTGATACCAATATATGAATAGTTTGCTATATAACTGAAGCTAATGGAAATTAACCAAGAACTAGACAAGTCTGGTTGTCTCTGACTTCTAGAAGCCCTGTAATCTGGAGGACTGGATCTTCAAAGACAACCAAACTCCCTCTTTTTACTTCTCTGTTAAGTAGATTTTTTATTTTTTGAGAGCGAAATCTTGTTTTATCAACTGAACAAAAACCTAAGTTGTCTGGCCACCTTCCCTTGCCTCCCATGTAAACAAAACAATTTACCTCTTGAGAGAATGGAGGTGTGTGAAAGTTATTTTTTTATGTCTGTTTCACTGATCCTCTAAACAAGCCTGACAGTTGAATAGTTAGACAACCTCAACCATCTTAAACATCAATTCAATTTTTGATCTTCTACAACTTTAATCTTCTCACTGCTGGCCTATACCTCTGACACTGACTTTCACATTCATATACACTTTGTTACATAATCATAAATAAAAGGAATTAGGACCTTTTTTTAGCCCTAAAAATATCAGGACAACGCATTTGATTTGCATGAAAACATTCATTGAATGTTGGCTGTTCATGTCCAGTGTGTTTGCTTCTCTTTAGCTCTTTATAAGTAAAGCTTTGTTGATACTCAAAGGTTCAACTTTTGCCATTTTGTACCTGTCCTAAGCTTGTACATGACTCTGACCCTGAGCTGCAGCACAACGTAAACACACTTATGAAAGCTGAATGAGATAGGACCTGATGTCAGATACTTTGTTGTTTATTTAGTTGGTTATTTTAGTTACTACCGCGGCAGCAGCTGCTGACATTTCAACCACCATTGTTAACGTACTCATTCACTTAATGAGTCATGCCCACATTTTGCTTTGATTATCAGTTTAATACTTATTTGTGGCTCGTGGAGGGGTGATGGATGAGACCATGTTTCCAAATGAGTAATTAAACGGGTAGCTAGCTCTGCAGTTAATAACTCATTATTAAGCACTTAAATTAATTAGCATATCACTGACTTTGACACATACTTAATAATGTGTTAAACATTTGTTAAATTTTAATCACTAGTTAATTAAGCATTTATTAGTGAACAGTAATGTAACGTGTTACCCAGTGAGCACATCATCAGACAAAGTGAACCATATCAAAAGAAAATGACACTGGTTGATATGTGATTCTCAGTAGAAGGCCAAGCTCTAACCTTTGTAGAGACACTTTCTTCCTCTGCTGGTAAATAACCGACCGGTGATCGAGTTCAGCCTCAGCTCCGTCTGTGAGGTTCAGCCTCAGCCAATGCCGAAACTAACCACTGTAACGGCAGGGATGATAAGAAATACACTGTGTTGTTGCCTTTAGCAGAACTACAGAGACAAGATGTGTCGATTATTTTAAGCATGCAGAATTATCATCCAGCAGTGATTTCAAGCAACAGAAATTGGACTGATTTATGTAATTTGAAGTGCTGTGGATGGATCAGACAACGAGCACCGTCGGTCTGTGCAGGAGATTAAACATGACCTCTCCAGCTGGGGTCATGCTGGTGATAATAAGAAAAAAAAATATCCTGTGTTTAGCCTTCAAAGCAGTGGAGTGAGTTCAAAACACAAACACTAGAATCACCCCTATGTCCCTGTTATTTCAATGGCTGCAGAACTTTGCAGTCACTGTTTCTGACGAGTGTAAACTGAATTTATCTGTGTTTGCTTCTCCTTTATAAAATCAATAGTATGAAATCGGGGTGAAAATTTGATTATAAAAATACCATTTGCGTTGCAAAAACTGTTTACCATTTTCTTTTACTCGGAGGGACCTTGGAGCATAGTCTGAGCTGTCCTTGCCTCAAGAGGATTTGTATACAGTGCGGAACAGTTTTTGATTTGTAAAGACATAACAGCTGAGTGAAAATCACTTAAAACATATGTTCTCATTTTAAAAACTGTGTGTGCTTATTGATGAAACAAGCCTCATCATCCCTCTATGCTACCATGTTAAAATAGTCTATGCTGAGTGGCAACAGGTGACCATGTTGTCAAAACAGGAAGACAGACGGACTTTAATTAAAGAATAATGTACCAAATAAGCTCCAGTCATGTCAGTCTATCAGCATTAAATGCCGGCTAAACACACCTGAGAGGTCGTCATGAGTCTGTCAGCAGGAAGGAGCTGCAGTCGGCTTTCTCCACATGATGCTTCTACTGCTGTCACAGCTGTCAATCATATGCTCTGGCCCTGTGGCAGGCTGTTAACGGATATCAGAGACCTCACCATGTATCAACATTACACACAATAACAAACCCCCCCCCTCTGTCTTTTGTTCCTCTCTCTGTCTCAGCTCGCTCGCCGGTGTTCAGTGCCATGTTTGAACACGAGATGGAGGAGAGTAAGAAGGTGAGTCGAGCACTTGACTCTGTTGTTCCTGTTCCCTCAGTGGCGAGTTGAATGTCTAAATTCTAATCTTTCTCTCTGTTGCGTCAGGAAGCGCTCACCTCTTAAAAAGCGTGTCTGCTCATGTTCCTTCATGTCTTGTTGACCGCAACTCTATTATCTGGTTTCCTTAAAACCACTATGTGCAGAATTTCTCTGATTATTGGGGCTTTGAAATTATTCTGAAGCCATAAGGTGTTGTTTGTAGACAAAATGAAACAATACCACTGAACATTAGTCCAGTCCGTGTTGCTTTTGGCTCAGTCTTCTTACTGTTTCCAGGATGAAATTGTGGTGTGAGGAGCAAGGCTTTCCGCCTCTTTTGGGGGAGCTGTCCCTAGAGGGTGCCAAAGTTTGAAGCTGCCCAATACTGGAAATTTGAGGCTGATGCTAATATCATTTTTGAGAGTTAAAACAAAAAAATCTAAAAAAAAAATCTAATTATATATCAAAAGCACATAACATAAATTGCCTAATATATTCACATTTCTGTACGGCATTTCTCATTATCACCCAGTTACACCAGCATTTAAAAATGAAATTTTGGGCCAACGCTCCTCTCTCTGAGTATAAACTGCTCCATAAAAAGAGGAATGGTTTGCAGACAGTTATGATTCAAGAGTTGATGGCACAAATACATATTTCGAATTCATTGTGTGAACGTGCTAACTGTCAGTTAGCATGTTCATTAGCTCGCTGTTTGCCCCTTCAATAACTTTATTGAATGAAACGATGTAATATCCTGAGATTAAATGCCACAGGGGAGTAAACAGCCTAGCACATGAAATAGAAAATATAGAGCTCGGAGAGCTTTTGTGACTGAATAGCTGTTAGCTCAGCAGCTACAGTAGTTTAACAACTACACCTGCAAATAGACACGACATCACCAAACCTCTGGAACAAAAGACATGATATGTCACTTCCTGATGGGACCAAGGCTTTACTTATTGACCAACATAATGTACATGCTAGTACTAATGTATCTCTGATAAGCTAATACTGGCTGATCATTTTGGCTTTATTCTGTAAAAGTATTATAAAAGTAGCAAAACAATCAAGAATATAAATCTACAGATTTGCTGTTACATTTCTTAACCTTAGCGTCAAATAGTGTAGCATGAAACCGGTTATATGGTATCTTAAATCGATCTCTTTGAAACCAGCATTTACCACCGCTTCATGTTCATTTTTAGTTGCCCTGAGTGCAGTTGATATTCTGGATGCATGAGATAGAAGTTTATCTTTGTGGCTGAGTGTATCTGTGTGTATGTCACCACTGCGTTTGGTTTGTGCATCATGGCTTTTCTCTTCTGTGTCCTCTGTGATGTCTGTGTGTGTGTGTGTGTGTGTGTGTGTGTGTGTGTGTGTGTGTGTGTGTGTGTGTGTGTGTGATGCAGAGAGTCCTCATTGCCACAGTTGGTTGTGTTCATGTGATAGGAGGTGGTGAGATTGAACCTTGGTGATTTAGCCGTCATGTCAGCGGAATATTGATGCCTGCACAGCTCGAATGGGGAAATTATAAAGCACAGAGCCAGGAAATGCATCTTAATTGCTGTTTAAGTGGGCGTCTTCATCAGAAAGAGGGAGAGAGGGGTGGGCCACGTCCCTATACGATTCAGAGAAAACAGATAGATGGGTTAACACTCCTCTGCAGCACTCTATAGAGGAGAGACAGATGAGCTCATAAAGAAACACTCTAATAGAGGACTGCTCTGTGAATAGAGTGGAGCTTCAGATACTGTTACTACACAACTGTTGTCGATTTATGAGATTCCGTGGAAAGCTCGTCTTCACAATAGTGACGGAAGACCTGTTAATTTTTCTCATGTGACCTCCAATGTGGTTATGTGGTGCTATTTTTCCCTTTATTTCATTTAAAACTCTCAACACACTTTGCTGTCAAAAATTAGCATCAAGTTTTCATCATGTGTATGTGAAACCTCCTCCTTATTCCTGGATTGTGTACAGGCTGTAAAAGTAAGAAATCACAGGCTGTGATGAAGATCTTTTTAATATGCATGTGCAGATTCTGTGTGTATTGCAATGATAGTAGAGATTAATGTTATGTGTGCTCACATGCCTTCATATGTTTACGTGTGTTACCTGAATTCCTGTAAAAGGGCACTGTAGCAGACTCCGTGCTGAAAGCTCAGCCCAGCTGCTTTCACGCGCTCCCTCCATTATTTCTCATCGTGTTTATGCTGCTGTTGAGCGGTCAGAGTTGACACAAACGCACTAAGCTGTTGGTATACCCAACCTGACCCTGCTAAAACGCCGCTGGTCACCATGGTGACAATAAAGCGCTGTTATAATTGGTTTACTGCTTTGTTCTGCCTCTCAGTGTGGAGGGAAAGGTTCAGGTTACCCTCACTGTGCTAGCGTGCGATAAAGCCTACTTTGCTGGCTGCAGGCACCGTCAAGGAATGAATGCTCAGGATTAATTTTCAGGAATCAGCTGAAAAGAATTAAATAAATGTACTAGAATGTAGTTTTGCTGAAACGTGTTCAGACTGTTCAGAGGATCCTTCAAGTATTTTTTTTTTTTTCTTGTTTGGCACTTGGAACATTTTGCATCAGTGCATGGCTGACTGTCCCTGTGTGTGTGCTAAACAAGGTGAGTGAGTTTAATTCAGGTAGAATTTGGGATATTCAAATGAAATAAAAAAAAAAAACCACTCTGCTGCTGCGCGTGGTTTTGATGGATTGTCAAAGCATCTGTCTTTTTCTTCTTTTGCCTTTTATTTCGTTAAACCCTCCGTGTATTCTCTCCTGTCCTCTCCTCCTGTTCAGAACCGTGTGGAGATAAATGACGTGGAGCCAGATGTCTTCAAAGAAATGATGTGCTTCATCTACACGGGCAAGGCCCCCAACCTGGACAAGATGGCTGATGACCTGCTGGCTGCAGCTGACAAGGTGTGTGTGTGGGGATGTGTGTGCACCTGTTACTGTGTACATTGACACACAAGCCAGTATGCATAATAATAACGCCAAAAATACACCCGAGAAGCTCGACTCCTGAGCACATACGCTTGCACAGTCGCATCCGAACATACTTTAGAAAGAAAATCTAAACCCATCTACTGTGGGAGGTGTACACTGTTTACCTTATACTGACTCAATGTTTCCTGTCTCTTCGTCTAAACACACATTTTTACTCCTCTGCTCTTCTCTTTCTTCTGGGTTTTCTCTCATTATTTCCCCAACATTCTTCAAACTTCTTGCCAGTGCTTTGTTAATAGTGTCATGCTGCTCATTGTAGAGCTTGATTTGTGCTTTTTAATTGCTCACAGCAGGTCTAGTCCAGTGTGTTATGACTGAAGCAGCCATTCATTAACTTATTAAGTAAGCTTATTAGTTTTTAATGCATGTTTACAGCAGTAATCTTGTCAAGAGTTTAAAAGATTTGACAACAACTATCTCCTATAACATCCTATAACAGCAGGCTTTTCCACTTCAGTCACTGATTTAGTCAGTGATAAAGGGATGTCGTTGCACCAGCGTTATTTTTTCAGACTTCAGAAAGCTGCCTTTCGAGCTGCAGAAGACATCAGACGACTGTTTTCACCTGCTGAGTAACACTCCTCATAATGAGTAAACTAAACTTTATGTGACATTCGTAAAATGTGTCTTTAATGTTGTCAGCTTGTCTTTGGGACTCCCTGCCTGAAGACCTGAGGCTGTTATTATTATTATTATGTATGTTGGTGTTTCTTCCCCTTACTTGCATCCTTCCTTCTTGAATGAAAAGTGCTTGATTGCAATTCCAAATTAGCATGTTTTCTCTAACCGATAGTTCAGAAAACAAGACGTCTCTTAAACAGCCCAGCATGAGTCCTACTTAGTGTAAGTTCTTTCATATCAGCCCCTTTACATCATTAGTGTTGGTAAAAGACTCTGCTAAATCGAAAAATTGTGGTGACGCAAATCCCCCCATAGTCTCTGCTGATCTCCTACGACTCCTCGACGTGTGTATGAAATTGAGATAATATTATTGTTCCTTGCAATTTTGTAATCAAACACAGTGGAAATAATTTTTTACCTCTCAAGTGATCCTCTTCTCCATCATCACTCCCCCTCTGTTTGCGTAACTGTCACTTTTCCTTCTCCTGGCCATATATTTTCTTATTCAATTTAGGCTTTGTTGCCGCTGCAGTGGAGTAATGCTGTGTTTCCGTATCATTACACAGTGCGACAACAGTTGCTAGTGGCAGCATTGTTTAAGTAATTTAGTTTACCTGTTGTTTCTCCTCTCGCTCTCTCGCTCTCTGTCACTGGCAGTACGCTCTGGAGAGGCTGAAGGTGATGTGTGAGGACGCTCTGTGCACGAGTCTGTCTGTGGAGAACGCCGCAGAGATCCTCATCCTCGCCGACCTGCACAGCGCCGACCAGCTCAAGACGCAGGCTGTGGACTTCATCAACTAGTGTGTTCAATCATCCATCTGCAGAGCTACTTCCACACTTATGCAAACATTTTTTTCCCTCTGTTTCACACACTCATACACTTAGCTTTTTGTCAAAGGAAGTCATTAATTTCAGTGGGAGCAATTTTTGTCTCCAGAGGAAATTTAATTTAATCCCCAGATCAGACCATTTTGCTGCTGTATCATATCGGGCCATTTAGTAAAAAACTTCAACTGCTGATGTTAATCATGTTGCAGGCAGCCTGTTTAGGTAAGATGGGGCCTATTAGCGTCAATGACTGCTATTTATGTCCACGGAGAGGTGATTGATCTAGTGTTTGAAAACAAAAAGCTTTTTCACAGTCACTACCTAAATTGCTCATCACCTTCCCTCTGTTGTCTGAATTCTCTGTCTCACAGCCAGACACATTTTACATCCCTTTGTTCAATCCTCTGTCCTCCCTCTGCAGCTTTACTCCATCTCCTGGCCTTGTTCCCGAAGGGGCTCCATCTCCCTCCCTCCTCTACTCACTCCTCTTCCTCCCTCTCCTTCCCTTTTCTCCCCTTCCTCCCTCTGCTGTTCTGTGCTTAAGAGCTCATGTGAGCCTAAAGGTGTTCAGTAATGCAGATTTCTGCCCCTAATCCCTGTCATTAATTGTGGTTATGGGCGTTATGACAATTTAATTTGCGACAGCGTTGTTGTGGTGGTGGGAAAATTGGCCACGGGGGACTCCTGGCCAGCAAAGCGTTATCAACCCTCCTCCCGCGGACACAATCGACAGCAACAAGAGCAACAAAACAAAAATCAATTTAGAGGACGAATATAGAAAACAGACGACACGGAGGAACCAATAATCCTCCCCCCAGTAGCACCTCAACCTCTTTCCAGACCAGTCTTTACAAGCAGCTTACAGTCATTTAGTCGAGACAATGGGAGTCCTCTTTATCCCACCTCTTTCTCATTTATTCATCCTCTCCAGGGATGTAGCAGAGAGCAAGCCACCCAAACTCTCTTTATCCACTTTGTTTATAAAAAAAAAGAAGAGTTTACTCACTTTTTTTAGCCTAACATGAATCTTTAGGCTTGAGTAAATTCATAGAATAAATCACAGTAAGTCGTGCAAACGCAACTTGAGTAATTGAAGCAAGGGTTTTTTAAGGCAGGAAAAAAACAGTGCCTTTCTGAAAGTAGGCTTTTTTGATAATAGTGGTGGTCTACCTCATTATTACTGCTGACTGGAGGTCATAGTTTGGCCTCTTTTTAATTTACCTTCACATCACTGCTCCTCACCCTCCCTCGGTCCCCTCCTGTCCCTCTCTCTGCACTTTCATTACTCTCCCTCACCTCCCTTGTTTTTTCATTTATTTATTTATTTGTGACTGCTGCTGTCTTCGTCTCTGCTGCCTTGGTCCACCCCTCCTCCTCCTCCTCCTCCTCCTCCTCCCCCTCCCTCTCCTGCTGTGACTGCTTCCCTCATGCCCTTTCGCTGGCCTCTTGCCTCAGCCTCAGCGCACTGACCATTACTGTAAGCAGGGGTTCACTTCCTCCACAGAGACTAAGGTCAGAGGTCGGCTGGAGGTCTGGAGCTGCTGTGTAAGAGTAGGCATGCCAAGACATAAACACATACGAACACACACACACACACACACACACACACACACACACAAACGCTGTTGTTTATTTACACACAGTGAAACATGAAAAATGTCATTAAAGGCCACACAGTGGTGTGCGTGATAGTGCAGCCCAGCACCCTGAGGGTCTCAGGGTGCTGCCACAGGGTCTGTTGGTGGAAACACACATCTGATGATCACCACAAATAAAATTCATCAGCAATTAACTACAAGATTTGTCCAACTTTTTGGGGCTTTCTGTTTTCCACTAGTTCATTATCGCTGAAGCTCTTGAGTCGCACAGCCACAGGGAATCCAAATAATTATATAGCTTAAAATTTCCATTCATTTTTAAGAGTGTGAGGATTTCCCATTTTATAATTTATAATGGCAAACAAAAATGATTAAAAAAAAAAAGATAAATTAGGATCCAGTAATTAGTAGTTGTGTGTAGTTTCTCCACAATAACCAGCTTTGTGCTTTCTGCTCTTATATCACCTCACTCACTGTTTATCAACTGACACCAGGACTTCCTGTTTTCAGACAGAGAGAACTTCATTGTAAAAAAAAATAAATTAAAAGAAGAAGTATACGTAGAAATAGCCCAGTGTAAAAACATTACATTTCAAGTAAAAATCTTGCATTTGAAATTTCAAGTAATCAGAAACACATGACAGGTCTACTCTACAAAAGCACATAAGTATTAAAAAAGTATTAAAAGAATTTTCATGTTGTAGCTGGTTGAGGTGATTTTTAGGTAGTTGATAAGATAGTTAACAATGTTTCATATTTTAAATATGTTCTCTAAATGATAATCTTCATCAGCAAAGTAATCAGTAACTATAGCAGTCAGATAAAAGTAAGTTTGTTGTAAAAGTTTGATATTTTTCTTTGAAATGTATCATCAGGTGGAATTAAAACAACGTAGTTAGGTTAACAATTCAAAATAGTAATTCCTTTGAGTAAATTTGAGTAGATGTTGGGAAGTGAGGAAGTATATAGAAGAGATAAAAACAAAATTATGTAGATTTTTTTTTCTCACTTTTCTCACACTCTGTCTAGAGTTTTACAAAAAAAAAATAAGCAATGTGTGAAGGAAACATAATTTACAGCTCATACAGCTCCGTGTTCACAGCTCATAACTCTATGCAATGTGATGGAGGGTTGCAAGTAGGTATGATATGATATGATATGATAAGATAAGATAAGATAAGATAAGATATGATATGATATGATATGATGTGATATGATATGATATGATATGATATGAAATGATAGAACTATAGAACCATGACTCAACAGACTTTGTCACCACTTGCCCACATACTGTATTTATGATCTTTGAATGTCGTCTTTTTAGCCGCATGACGTTTTTTCTCTCAGAAATGACCTTTTGGGTTAAACATTTAAAAATATAAAGTAAATAACAGCTCTGCCAGCTGGTATGACAAATCCTTACTGTCTCAGAGCTGCACTCCACACAGATTGAGTCATATAATCCCAAACTCTTGAGAAACTGTTTTATTTGTGTGCTTTTTTTATTTGCTTGTCCACTTTGTTTTCTTTGAATATTTTCTCACTTTTTTTTACCACTGTGTCTCCTCTCTTTCCCTGCAGTCATGCAGCTGACGTGATGGAGACATCAGGCTGGAAGTCCATGGTGATCTCTCACCCACACCTGGTAGCAGAAGCCTATCACTCCCTGGCCTCGGCCCAGTGCCCCTTCCTGGGTCCCCCGAGGAAACGCCTCAAACAGTCTTAGTGGTCCAGGGAGAAACTCTTCAGTCCTGACCCTGCTGTGTCTTCCTGTACCAGCAAACTCACTGCTCCTCCCTCCCAGTCCTCCTCTCACTCCTACAGCATCCAGAGACGCCCAAGACTGATACCCAGGACTTGGCTAGATATGGCTAGGGGAGCTACTCAGCTGGGCAGAACAGAGGCTGGTGCCACAGAGGAGGTACTACACATCTCTGTAGGTGGGGATGGGGAGAAATCTATGAGATCTGAACCAGGATATTTATGGATTGCAAGCTCAAAGCCTCACGTATTCCGTATATCCTTCATCTTCTACGCTATTGGAAAAGCTAGAACATTAGTCTGCAAGTCAGTCACATAAAGAAATGATCTTCTGGCTTGAAACGGAAATGTCAATGCTGAGTCCCTGTAAATACAATCTTGTGACATATTGTCTTGTACAGTGTCTTGAGTGTTAAAGCCCAAAATGTGCTTGCATGAAGACAAGTGAAGAGGATCAACCAACCAGAAAGTGAAAGACTATTGTGTTTGTACAAAGTGTTATTTTTCTAGAACATAAACAATTCTCGGTTTGAATGAAAGAAGACAAATCCGAACACGTTTTAATGTTCTCTGTTTGTAGCATATGTCTTAAAATGGGCAGACACTGTGGATTAAGCCTGAGTTTAACTCTGAATTGTTGCCTCTGACTAATTTTAGAATTTGGGTGAATTTCTGCCCCATCAGCTGCTGTTTGACATGTGGTTTGAGGGCGGTAATGACACCTGATTGATGACCTGAATGATCAATGATCTGTCTCTCGGGTGATATCTGTCAGGTCAGAAATTTTGGTTGGCTATTTTGCACTTGAAGCAGTTCCACAGTCCAATTTCCTACATGGCTGCTATTTAAAGAGCCATTACAAACTGTAGTGGGCTTGTTTTAATGTTGTTGACATTGAGTAGTATTTTACATGTTGTGGCTTAAACTATACGGTTTTTGCTATAATATAAAAGTGTTTGCTGCAGAACAGACAGACCATTTTGTCTGTATCATTCAGCCATCTTACTTTCCGTCAGGGCTGAACAATTAATTGAAATAATAATGATAACTTTATTTATATAGCACCTTTAAAAACAGGTTTTACAAAGTGCTTTGACAAACAAATCAAAAGTAATGATAGTCAAAAGCAGGACAAAAATAAGGTAGAGTTATATCTATTCAATATAGATAAGGACAATTAGAGGGAGCAGATGTCATAAAAAAATACACACATGCACGCAAACACAGTAAAAGCAATAAAAGGGTGATATGGAGATGATAAAAGATGAAATTACAATTCAAAAAGACAATAAAAAGACAACATCACATAAACGCAAGTCTATAAAAATTAGTTTTAAGAAGTGACTTAAAAGAAGTTACTAAATATTATTGAAATCGCAATATGGCCAAGTGCAATATCTAAATGCCAGGAGTCGCAATGTGAAAATCCCAATATGATATTTTTTGCATATCGTTCAGCCCTGCTTTCCGTTCATAGTGTAACACTAGCTTTCTCTCTTTTGTCAACATTGTTGATGATGAGGATGTCGTTTTGACCTTCGATCCATGCTGACGTTTAGTGTGAGCTCCGTGTCGTGTCCAGTCCGTTGATGTTTACAGTGTGAGTATAAAAGTCATAGGTTCAGGCCATGCAGATTGAAATGTGTAGTGTGAGTTAACACAACGTAGAGGAAGAATAAAAACACACAGTGTCTGCCCAGCTTTAAGGAACAGATTGGAAGAAACCATCATGTAAGAAAACAAGCTTTTTATTCACCTGTTGATCACAGAACATTCCCAATGACTGAAACAATGTGTTGGCCCCCGGAACCTGTAAAATACAGATTGAATTTCTCTGGCATGACGGTGTCATTTTAATCCTTGATATCTTCATTATTGCTCATTATGCAGTTTGGTCAGTTACTGACTCATTAATGCACGGCCTCTTTCAACTTGCTGCCAGATCAGTGTGTATGAATAACACGTTTCAGTTTCAACATTAATCTTGTCATGATCAAAGTGCGATCCCCAGCACACGTGCTGTTCCCCCTGTCTGTCATATCCAGCTGCATCGCATGTAGACTCCTCTCTCACTCATAGCCACAGGCCTGTTTGACTTGTCCGCCGTGGGCTTCCTTAGAGAACACACAGGTTGTAATCACTTCTGAGAGAGTTGGACCTTTCTCTTGGACAGTATTTTAACAGGGATTTCTCTGTGTTGACTGAAGTCGAGGCCTAGTGGGCTTTAAGGAAGCTCATTCCTGAGCCCTGCAAATCGCTCCTCATCAAACAGTCAGCCCTGACCACCCTTCTTTGGGGATATTCCGGCGTTGTCCCGACGCTCATCAAACTGAGGGAAGGCCGTTATTCTTGATGCAGGGAGCATACTGTAGCTCCATGATGGAGCACATACAGTACTAGTAGACTGTTGATTCAGTTACATCATTCATATTTGCTGAGCGGCGTCACATTTTGAACACATGAAGATGGAGTTGTTCAATGCAAAGATCATTTTTAAAAATGTATATTTTAGGCGACATTTTATAATCTGCCATCAGACAGACCGGACCAACAATAATAAAAAGTAGAGCTGGACAATACTGTATATTATACAAAAAGTTATTAATGGGACTTATAGTGAAGCTGATTATCTCAGTTGTCAGAGATTCGCTTAAATTTGTGTGCTGTATTTTGTCCACACTGTCAGTGTCTTGTATGTGCTGTGTGTGTGTGAACTGCCAAAGACAATCCATCTTGATGGACAATAAAGTTGTACTCCTCAGTGCTCCCTAAAATATTATCACATTACAGTGCTGGGTGATATGACAGAAATCACTATCACACATACTGTGTATTCATGGGCATATTTATGGATATTTATATATATCACAATAAAACATAAAATAATAAATTGATATGCTGGGAATCATTAATTTGGAACAGATTGGTGTAAAATGATATCAGCTACATGGATAGAGGACTACAGAATCAATGTGAGGCCAGAAAAAGGAGAACAGGGTTTGATAGCGTATCCTTTATAATGCGATAACGATGACCCTCAAATAAGCCTCCCAGCCAATATTTCTAAGTTTGAGAATTTCCCTGTAAAGGTCAAGGTGTGTGCATGTGTGTCTGGCTGAAAAAGAAAAACGTGCGAACATTGCAGGCATATGGTGCTCGCTGAGTGGGCACGCATGTCAGCACAATGTGCTTTTTTAGGAATGTCCCTGAGATAGGAGGAGGCTTTGTTAACTGGAGCCGGGCCTGTCAGTGTGACCCTCTTCATATGAGCTGGAATTTGAGGCACCAGGTTGTAATTTTATTCCTGGCTTTGATAGTCAGCTTGTGTAGCAGCTTGCAGCCAACCTTCTTTATCTTTGTAAAGATGTGTGTTTGTGTTTGTGTGTCTCCACTGGCCTTAGATGAGACAGTCAGGGGGAGATAGATGGAGCGATGCATGTGGAGAGGCGTACTCAGTTGTTATGCATGCTGTATGAGTCTGTCACACCCTCCCTCCTCTTCGCTCTTCCTCTCATGCCGCCGCCTCGCCTCCCCATCATTCACTCCTCCTTTCATGGGAGAGAGGAGAGCAAGGTGTGGCAGGTCAATGCTGTGAAAGCCTGTGACAAGCTCTGCATCTGTGTCAGCCCGCCATCACTAAAGAGGAGGAAGAGCCAGCCGGAGATTGATGCCTGCTGGTCTGCACTGCCCGGCAAGAGGAGGAGGAGGAGGAGGAAGGACGGCACTGAGGAGAGCTGGGAGTGGGAGTTCATGGGCTTGAAATTTAAACCTCAACTATTTTGGTGTCAACGCCACCCCAGACTCGACTCGAGCATCTCTATGAATATAAATATGGTAGTAATTTTTCTTGAATGTCCCAAGGAAATTGACCAACACTATGACCATAAGCTGATTTTTTCAATACACTATACTCACTTCAATATTTAAGTTAGCACTTTAGCAAGAACTCTGGACCCGCCAATGCCAGATATTTCGTTTGTTTAAGTTTATATTTTTTTATTTACTTAAAGCAATTATCAGCATATCTTCATAATGATGCATACTTTAAAAATGAGGTATGAGTTGCAACTAATGCCTTATTAATGGTTAATTAACTTAATATTTTATAGATCATCAGTACAATGTTGATAAGAACAACTATTAGGTTGCCATGTCAAAAATTCAAAGTGCTCCCAATGTAATCTTTGTATTTTTAACATGCTTGCCTCAAAGCAACTGGACAAAAAGCCATTTATTAAGTGTGCATTTATTAAATGAGTTTGGACACTTGGGGGCAGCACAACAAAAACTGTTAACACAACATTGTCACCTTGTGAGGTTTTTATGGTTAGCAAACAGTTGCCTATTGTGCATCTAGGGAATGCAGAGCAGCATTAGTATCAGCATTCATTTGGAGTCATGTTTGTGTCCATATAAGTCCAGTGTTCTCCTATTAGTTTTGTTTTGGTCTCCACCTCCTCCACTATGTCCACCAGCGAGTAGCTAACTTTGTCTGTCCACTGTTTGGTGCTGGACAGGTTGTGTAAAGAGCTTTTTCACTGCTGCCTGAAACAGGGCTGATGAGACAGAAACAAAGCAGTAAAGTTGGAGGCTGTAAAATCCAAATTGAATAGTTTGGTGTTTGTCACATCAAGTAACAATTTCCACAAACACATGGTCATATGATCCCTTTTTGATATAAAAATACTGATACAGCTGCTTTAAATTTCAGTAAATCAATTGTATCACAACATCTAAAGAGGCGTACTTTAGAAATCGTAATTAATGCTGTAATTACGGTTAATAATTAATTTATTAATCGGAAAGATCAGTAATAAGACATTAATAAGGACAACTTTTGGGTTGCCAGGTTGTGAGAAATCATTGGGTTGGTGAAAATCTACTTTATCTTTTAACAGATTCATCGTGAGAACATCTTTAAAGGTTTGACCACTTATCTGCCGGAAAAAACTTTCAGACCAGCTTCTCTTCTGACAACGTGCTAATATTTATAAACTCAGACTTGATGGATGACTGTACTTGAGGAAGCCTTTATTAATTACTTACTTTCATTTTGAATCGTTAAAAGTGAGAAACCCATATCGTTTATTAATGATGTATTCATTTTCAAATTCTCAAGTATTTTCAAGCGATTTGGTAACATTAATAAAGCCATTAGTTACAAGCTGTAAAGACTTTATGGACTGTGCCTAATTACAAAAAGTGGTACCCTGTCATCATGTGGAGCCACCAACTCATCTCCGCTGAATGCAGCATAAGCATAATGCAACCTTTGAGAGGAGATATTTGACCGTACTGTATATCCTTCATGATAACGCAGGTAATCCACTCAGATGGTATCGTCTGTGACAGGTGAGGGGAGCTCAGGCCTTGGGGCAGAGAAATGGAAGGATGAAGTGACAGGGGTAATGGATGGATAGAGGGATGAAGAGTGATCGGGTGTCATACAGGTGGGATAGGGCCAGATAGATAGTGAATGAAGGAGCAATGGAGGATGGATGGCCGGAGCACCTCAGACATTGACAGCATTGAGAGATTTGTCTTCTTTGTACTCCATTTGTCTTGTTTCTCCTTCTCCACTGTGTCCGAGCGAGTTAAATCTCATAAAACTATTTACTCTGACAATGCAGCAGCGGTAGCAGCCGGAGTGGTGGTGGTGGTGGTGGTGGTGGTCTCGCTGTGGTACTGTTGCTGCTGGGGAATGTTAGGAGTTGCCATTTTGGAAAGGAGAATCTCTCGTTCTGAGAGGATTGTCTTTGTCTTAAGGATTAGTTGATATGCACAAACAAACTGCAATCCACAATTAACTGTTTGCTAATAACACTGGATGTAGAAATTAGAGGAGAAAAAGAACCAGACGGGGGAGCTGAGTCTCACACACACACACACACACAATTACGCACGTATATATGAGCTGCTAATTGCTTTGTGTGCACCAATCTGTCCTGTGAATGTGCCGGTGCAATATTGCGGTGCTGTGGGTGTTTGCCCAGCTCATAACCGCAGACCAATGTGGCGGAGACAAGCTCATATATTAAGATAACCCCGAAACGGAATGGAATTGTATTTCCCCGGCGGTTCAAACGACTTCTGTGGTTGTAAACTGATAGTGGATGAGATTTGGCTTTAATGAAGCAAGACTTATTGTGCACAGTGCAACACAGGAAGGTGCATGGGTGTATGTGCTTCATTATTTGAGAGGAGTGTGCGTTTGGATGTGCATGTGTCCATTTTTTTCCCTTAACAAGCAAGCGCTGTTATCTGTAGCTGCATGTTTGCTCTCACGGCGGATGTTATTGTATCACTATTTTTCTTGCTCTGAGGTTGGAGTGTGTCTGAGGGCTGTGATTTATTTTCCCTGAAATAATCAAGTGAAAGGTTTTTATTTTGTACTTGTCCCTGGTGTAATCTTTCTCAAGGTTGTGTGTGTTTGTGTGTGTGTGTGTGTGTGTATCTTCATCTGTTTATTAGAACGTTCCCCATCGGCCTGCCGTAATGAGTCCTGTGGAGCCAAGGAGTGATGGAGTTGAACTCATCAGGACAACACTCATTGCAACAGAGAAAGAGAGAGAGAGAGAGAGAGGTAGCAGGGAAAGGAAAGAGTGATGTTTGATGGTGTTAAAAAAAAGACTAAGGCCAGAAGAAATCCAAGCAAATAAGTGACATTTAATATTTTCCCATATTTTGTTAAAACCCCATTATTGTCATTTATGCTCCATTTGTTTATTGGGAACTATTTCTGGTCAGTGATTTTAAATCAGCTGATTTTCTTGCAATATATCCTCTTGTAAAAGCGACGTCCTGTACCTCAGCAATGGCTGAAATTACATCTGGAAATATTAGTTCAGTTAAGAAGTAGCAGGGGAAACATTTTACTGCCCACCTCCCTCTGGAGTATTAATCCTGTCCAAATAGGACTGAAGATATACAGTATAATGGAAGGAGAGATGAATGTAAAATAAATGGGGGCCTGCGCGTATTCGAGCATGCATTAGGAAAGAGGAAGGGAGGGACATGTAAAGCAGAGCAGAGCTTTTATGTCCCCAAGGCACAATATGGTTTACAGACAGTAGTCAAATGAGCAGTAAATGTAAAAATAAAGTAATAAACAAAACAACACAATATATACAAACAGGACTAAGAGTCCACAGCCATGCTAGTGGCTCTGTGAAGTTTTATTTAGGCAGATGAAAAGCCAGGGTATCACCAGAGTTATCAGGATTCATTGTCTGGGCACCATGGATATCTGTAGATTTCACGCCAATCCATTCAGTAGTTGATGAGATATTTCAGACCAAGAAAAAATAAAAATACAAACACACAGACCTATGGAGAGAACTTGGGTTTGGACAAAATATTAAACTAATTTCAGTGTCATGCATGTTGTACATTAGAGGTAGGATATTTTGCAGGGCGGCTGGACTGGATTGCATTTGACTGTAGCAGTGTAAATATACAGCAGGCTGATGGAGCCTTTGCCCAGATAAATGTTCCCCTGTGCACAAAATGAAATAAGAATAATGTCGGAAGAATTAGAACAACAGTGCTCAAGCGAAAAAGTGAAAAGAAACAACAACAGTGAAAACCCTTATAAATGAGGTACTGTGTGCGGCAGGGTGGGGTCTGGAGTAGGAGAGAGAAAGATGAGAGACACACTTCAGGACAGCACAGGAAAAAGGGGAAACAGGGCTGTCTTCTGAGCACCGTGGTCGATTTGTTATGTGTGCACGGGTAAATGAAAGCCCTCTCTTAGCCTCGTTAAGCATGATGCACTGCCTCAGCCATCGGCACGGCGCTGATTAAAATTCGCCCTCTGGAGTTTTGGGGGA